AGTGCATACCCCCGACACTTGGTTTCGAGGGGTCTTCTTTTGAAAACATGTGGTGTTTTCTCCACCGTTGTAGGTGATAGTAGTGTCTACCCTCGGCACTTGATGCCAAGGGGTCTTGCATGTGATAAAGTCTGAGGCCAGGAACTCGTGCGAGGGCTCGGCCGCTCACAAGGGTCTTGTTTCTTGTCCTTGGTGTCTTCAACATGCCTTCATTCTTTAAAAATTGGGGGCTTTGGGCCATAGAATAATACATTCACTAGTTATGAGGGCTTGGCCGCTCTAATGTTATTGATAAAATTTAACTAAGTGATGTACATTCCAATGCCTAGGGACCTCGGTCCCGTTGGGGCGATTGAGTTTGTAAGTCCCTGGTTTGATGACGGCTGCAATGATGTACGGGCCCTCAAATTTTGGTGCCATTTTGCCTCCCTCGGTTGGTTGGCTAGCTTCCCTCCTTCGGAGGACATAGTCCCCTACTTGGAATTCTCAAGAGCGGACTTTGGCGTCGATGTAGCTTTTGATTTGCCTTCGGTAGTTCTCCGCCCGTATGAATGCTTGCTCTCGGCGTTCTGAGATGAGGTGAAGGTCGAGGGCCATATTAGCATCGTTGACTTCAGGGTCATATTGGATCACCCTTCAGGTAGGAAGGGTCACCTCCGTAGGAGCTTTAGCCTCAAAACCGTAGCAAAGGGAGAAGGGTGTTTCAACTGTTGCCCGCCGAGGGGTGGTGCGGTAGGCCCATAAGATGTTATGGAGTTCTTCCACCCAGCCTCCCCCTTCGGCCTCCAGCTTCTTTTTCAGGCCCTCGAGAAAGATCCGGTTGGCGTTCTCTACTTGGCCGTTGCCCTGAGGGTAGGCAACCAAGGAGAAGGTGTGTTTGATGCCCCATGCCTCTAGGAGTGCACAGAAAGGGGCTGCCTCAAATTGAGTTCTGTTGTCGGAGATGATTTGCTGGGGGACGCCAAACCTTGTAAGGATGTTCTTGAGAACAAAGTGACGACATTTGGCCTTGGTGATGCTTGCGAGGGGCTCGGCTTCCACCCACTTGGTGAAGTAGTCAATGGCGACAATGATGTACCTGTTGTTGGAGGTACCCCTCGGCAGAGGGCCCACGAGGTCTATGCCCCATCGAGCGAAGGATATGGATGTGCTGATGGGGGCATAGTTGACCGCTGGTCTGCCAGGGGCTTTCTGGAAGTGTTGGCATGCGGTACACCTTCGGGCGAGATCCGCACAATCCCGGGCCATTGTAGGCCAAAAGTAGCCTTGGATTATGAGCCTTCGGGACATGGAGAAGGGTCCCTAGTGAGCTGAGCAAGTGCCACTGTGCACCTCCTCCATCACGACCTCGGCTTCATCTTGATGAAGGCACCGAAGTAGCGTCCCGTTGTATGACCTTTTGTAAAGCCTTCCGTCCTCTATGGCGTAGCTGGGAGCCCTCAACTTTGCTAGCTTGGCACGGGCCTCATCCTCGGGCAGTTGCCCTGTGGTGATGAAGGCGACAATATCTGAGATCCAGTCTTCTTCCCTTTGTTGTATGTGCATAATAGGGCTAGCATGTATGCTGGAGAGGCTGAGCTCCTCGATTTTGGCAATCTTTGAGATATGTTCAGGGGATTCGGCCGAGAGCTTCGATAAAATGTCGGCCTCGGAGTTTTGAGCCATCGGTATTTGAGTGAGGGAGTGTGCCTCAAATACCTTGAGCAATTCTTTAGCCGCCTGATAGAGTATATCTAGAGAGAAGTGAGAGCTAGAGAGAGAAGTGCAGTAATATGCTTCAATAGAATGATTTCGTAACCCCTATAACTACTCCCAAGGGGAGTATTTATAGAGAAAATTAGGGTTGGGCTCCCAAGCCTTGGGCTTGGGAGGCCCATTTACAACTGGACCGCTACTAGGCCGAATACAAAGCCTCTAATGGGCTGTACAAATGAGCAAGTATAGAATCCGATTCTGGGAGGTCTTCGTGGCCGACGAGGGCGCGGCCGACGAGGGCACGGCCGACGAGGGCACGGCCGACGAGGGCACCCGGGTTCCTTGGACTCAGGACCACAATCCGAGTTGGCTTCTTCTCGGCCGACGGGGGCGTCTTGGCCGACGAGGGCGCCACTCTGTTGTCTTGTGCTTTCTGTTCTTCCGGGTATGTGAGTCCTGGGGCTCAGACCCATATACTCCATCAGGAGTCCCCCACTCTCTAAGCTGAGACGTAGACGAAGTGAAGGAGAGTAGATTTCTGTGCTTTGTTGCTTTTGGCCGACGCGGGCATTTTCAGGCCGTTAGCCGTTGCGGCGTTGGCGTTATTTCCTCTTCCGTGATCCTGTTCTGTGCTTTGGCCGTTACCTGTTCCTCGCTGTGGGCGGGGAGGCCGTTGTTTCCTTAATTTGTTTTGGGACGATGAGTGTCCTTCTTTCAATGGTGGCCGTTGAAGGCGCGCTTTCCCTTTCCTGGCCGTTGGTGGTTGAAGTTTATGTTTGGGCCGGTGAAGCCGTTGAGGTTGTTCCTTGCTTTGAGGACGATGGCCTCATTTCCTTTGTGTGGCCGTTGTTGGTTGGCCGAAGAGCCTGTCAAGATTAATTGTTGGCGGAGGACGATGAGTGTCCTTGCCTCTAGTGGCTTATTGGCCGTTGCTAGTGACGTTATGGGCCTTTGGCCGATGAAGTTCCGTTGTGCTGTGTGGTTACCTTGTTCACACTCTTTTGTTTTGTTGAGGCCGGTGTAGTCCCCCAGTCCCCCACTGCTTCAGGCCGAGGAGTGTGAGGGGTGAAGGAGTTGCTTGAGTCCCTGGCCGAAGCGGTCTCGCCGTAGTCCCCCTGAATCCAACTCTCATGGCGATTTTCTGGCCAAGGTAACCCTGTGGGAGAACCCTTGTGCGCAGATCGCTTGTAGAGAGTTATCATCAAGGGTTATTACAAGGAGCCGAAGGCTGTGGGCTATTTGTCCCCTTTGTTCTGTGGCCGTTACGTTCCTGGCCGTTGCCATCCTCTTATTGTTTGGCATTTGTGATCTTGGTGGGCAAGTGGGACGTTGTGGGCACTTGCTGGCAGTTGTAAAGCCGTTGAGCGTGTGTAGGCCGTAGAGTCTGATTTGCCGGTGGGCCGTTGATATGGGTTGGTCCTGGCCCGTTGGTGACGTGGTGGCCTCCCAGTGGTGGCCGTTGATGTGGCCATTGGGAGAGTGCCACGTGTAGTGACCGTTGGTGGGGGGGGGTCTATAAATACCCCTTCCCCTCCGACGAGGAATCATATTTGCATTCTGAATTTGTCGAAGTGCTGGCCGATTTTCTAGAGAGATAAACTCCCAATCCTGTTCTTCGTGTTCTTCGTTGTTCGAAGTTAGTGTTCATCACGATCTTCCTCGCTTTTCATACTTTGCTTCCTAGGTAGTTGATCTAGTGTTAGGCGTTTAAACACCTTTAGATCTTAAGTTGTTCTCCTTAAGCCCGTAGTAGTAGTAATGAAGAGCTTGAACGAGGACTACTACCCCTACGACGACCAGCCCTCCACGAGGTCGCTTGACTACGAGGTGCTCGAGGAGTTTGAAGAGGAGATAGAGCGTTTAAGCCCCTACAAATCCGGAGAGCTGATGGACGAGGAAGGCGAGGACGAGGAGTCCGCCTCCTCTTCAGAGGGTGAGGACGTAGGCGCGTCCCGAGCAGTGGACGGGGCGTCCACTTCTGCTGCCGTTCCGTGCCCGAGGACGGTGTCTGCCGTGAAGGGCGCAGCTAAGCCGAAGAGGGTGAGGAGGCCGAAGAATGGGCCGGGCCTCTCCTACTTGGACCTCAGCAACATATTCCTGATCAAGCCGGAGAGCAGTGCGGCCGACTATCTTGTCGCCCAAATGTACGTGGGGCCGTTCGGGCGGGTTAGGGCACCCAGGCCGACGGACCATGTTCTACTTCCGCCACCGGGATACTTTGGAGTATACCCGATGAGCTTTGCTAAGGGGTTGAGGTTCCCCCTTCACCCTTTCGTCATTGAGTATCTGGACATGGTGGGGCTTCCTCCGGCCTTGCTGACGCCGAACAGTTATTCCTTGATGGTGGGCTTTTTACTTCGGTGTGAGGAGTTGGGCTTCAGGCCGACCACGGCCTTATTCATGAACTTGTACCAGATCGGCCGAGGAAGCCACAAGAACTGTGCGGCCTACGCTACTCTTCAACAGCTGCCGAGGAAGAAGAGCTTCACGGATTTGCCCACGTCCATTCATGGGTGGAAGAGCAAGTTCGTGTTTGTGTCCATTGGTGAAAGTGGCACCGAGTTCCCCTCTCTCGGCCACACCGGGAGGTTCAATCTCTATGACCCGCCGAAGAGCTCTATTTTGGACGCTCAGGTGGAGGCTTTCCTGGAAGGGGGGCCGAGGAGCGTGAAAGATTACGTCACTGAATACAAGATGACCGCCCTCGGCTTCTTCAGATATCACCTGTATGGGGATAAGGAGGATGACCTCCAACTCTGGCCGAGGATGACCACCACCTTTGAGGAGGCCGATGGCCCGGATTTGGGCATTCCTGCTGAGGCCGATGGTAATTTTTTCTTCGGCTTTCTGTCTTTATGTTTTGTCCTTTGCCTTACTAATCTGTTTGTTTTTCCTTTGTAGACTTTGTCATGGACCGACGTTCCATAATGGCTGTTGCCAAGGCCAAGGCGGCCGAGGAGCTGGCTGCCAAGGCGGCCGAGGCGGCCCGACGTGCCGCTGCTGGTGGGAGCGGGGCTACTGCTGATGCGGCCCCAAAGCCTGCCCCATCAAAGAAAAAGAGACCGGCCACTGACGGCCAGAAAAAGCTGACTGAGGCCGGCGTGAGCGTCTCTAAAAAGACGAAGAGGGCTCCTTCCCCTTCTCCGGCTAGTGAGGCCGGTACTCTTACTGTCCCCAGCGTGGGCGATGGTGGTCCCGTCGTGGACCTTACTGTTGCTGATGATGCTGCCCCAGCGCTTCCTCTCGTCCCGGAACCACGGACGCAGAGGGCCGGCAAGGAGGTTGCCTGTGCCACCTATCAGAAGGTGATAGAGTACCCCGTCGGCGGGGGCGTGTTTAATGAGCTCGTCCCCGGCCACGTCGTCCTGGCCAAGGCCATGCCGGCCAAAGATCGGGCTCATTTGAAGAAGCTCGAGGACCCGAAGATTTATGAGGGCGGCATGGACCTCCTCGTCCAAGTAAGTGATTGTCCTTATATTTTTGTCTCTCCTCGTCTATGTAGAGTTTTTGCCTGACCTTTGTTTTCCTTCTGCAGAGTGCCTTCATGCTTATGGAAAGCCATAAGAGGCAGTACTGGGAGATAGCTCGCCTGCAAGCGCTGGAGCAGAAGGCTGCCTCGGCCGACGAGGCGGTAGCTTGCCTTGACCGGCTCCGGGAGGATGCCAAGGCGCTGCAGGCCAAAGCTGATGAAGCCGTCGCGGCCAGGGACGATGCCCTGGTCAAGCTCGAAGAGAGCAAGAGGGAGCTCGCGGAGTCCCGCAGGGCGCTTGAGGCCGAGAAGCGTAGGAGCGAGGAGGCCGCCAAGGCGAAGGCTGAGGCCGAGGACGCCGTCGTGAAGGCTGCCGATGAAGCCGTCGAGAAGTTCTTGGCCGAGGGGTGGAAGGCCGATGAGAGGCTCCCCTGGTGCTACGAAGTGGTGGCCGCCAGGCTGGAGAATTGGGGGATGAACTCCCCTGCCGGCCGGGAGTATTTCAGCCGGGAGATGTCCGTTTACTACAACCTGGGCCAGGAGCGGATGCAAAGGCTCCTGTGTCGGCGGCTATCCCGGGCGTTGAAGGCCATGAATTACACGTCTGGATGGGCTAGACGGAACCTGAAGCTGCCAAAGCTGATGAAGGATCCCGAAGAGCAGGCCAAGCTTCCGCTGTCGGAGCGGGAGTCCCCCATAGAAAGCTCCGGCCTCGGCGAGCCGGACTACACTGAATTTGATTTCTTAGATGATGCTACCAGCGCCGCTGCCGGTCAAGAAGCTGAGGACGAAGAGGGAGCTGATGAGGCCGATGAGGCAGCCGCAGACGGAGGTGCCCCCGAAGCTTGATAGGCTACTCATTTGTAATTAGCTTTTCAATTTTTTGCCAAGTGATGTAACGGCCGAAGCGCCCCCATTGTAATGAATTGATTAATGAAAGAATTTTTGCCATCCTTCTCGGCTTTGAATCCATTGTATGCTTGTTTGCTCTGTCATTTCAATTCAGTAAATTGTCGGTGTCAAGTCATAACTTAGGTCACCCGCGAGTGTCCGCTATGTCCGTGAGGTTGGCCTTCCCGTCCAGTAGTCTGGTCGGGCTATGCCTCTTTGCTTTACTGTCATAGCACGTAGGATTTTGTTTCAAAAATTTCCCAAGTGTTTTTGGGTCCATGTAGCTCCTGTCTTTACGGCCTAGTGGCTTGATCGGCTTGGACGTAGTTTCATAACACTTAGGAATTTTTCAAAAATTTTCTAAGTGTTTTGGGATCCACTTAGGTGCTTTCCTTTCGGCCTGGTGGCCTGGTCGGCTTGACCGGTGTTCCTTTGCTATCATAACATTTAGGATTTTTTCACAAAATTTCCTAAGTGTTTTTTATTCCTTTTAGGTGCTTCCCTTTTTAGCCCTGACCGCAGTGTCCGTTCCGTCCAGGCGTTGGCGTCCTTATCGTCCTGGCCTTGGATTCATCCCAGGTGTTTTAGCCAGGGCCGTTGTCGGCTTGTATCCCTGTGTTCTGGCCGATAAGGGCACCTTCACCATAGTCTTGTGGACTTTGAATTTTTCACAAGTACACATGTAGAGGTGTAGGTAGCTAACGGCTTTGTAGTATACTGGTACCCGCTTCAGCTAGAACTCCTTCATTTGAGTACTTAGATAATTTCCTAAGTATAAATGTTAGGCATATACGTCTTCGCGGTGCCACTGCCGGCCAAGGTCTGGCTTGTGGCCGATGAGGGTGCTGGATAAGAAATAGCTTGTCCAAGGAGATCGTCCTGCCTTCGTCGGCTGGCCATGGTTCCAGTGCCTGCGTCGGCCATCCGAGGTGCTGTGGCAAGTAGAGGTTGTTTCTTAATTGCTTGTTCCTTTCGCGGGTGTGACGAGTGCCCGCTTCGTCCTGGTCATCCTCAGGATTGCGATGTTTGGTTTCATACCAAGCGTTGGTGCCTCAAAGGACTATGGCCGATGAAGGTCACCTCTCGCGTGTCACCCAACCGATGTGGTTAGGGTTTTATAGGCGTGTGTATCGGCCTTGATTGTTCCCTCGTGGTGTGTGGACGTGTCGTCCATGCTGCCTGTCAGTGGTACTAAACTTGTGTTCAACTGATATGTACTTGGCCTAGTTGGGCCTGAGTTGTGGGGATTTTATTTTTTCATTGCTCGAGGCCGGCTAGTATGCGCGGCCGTCGGCTTCCCTCTTTTTCCCTTGTATGTCTTTTTTTTTGTTTTTTGTTTGTTTCGGGGGTATCCTTCTTTCAGGCTTCGGCCGAAGGGTGTGCTCGTCCTTCGGCCGGTCGGACTTCGTTTATAACGTCCGTGATCTCAGGGCGGGTCCCGTCGCCTATTTATGACGCGGGCTAGACTTTTGGTCGGTTTCCAACGGCTGTCGTTGCCCAACCCTGAGTTTTGGGATTTTGTCACCTCGGCCATGATTTCAGGCCTGTCGTCCTGCGATCTGGCGCGTGGACGACGCGGTGAGCTTCCCGTTTCAAGACGTGGGCCGTTTGCGGGCCCCTCGTCCTGGGGACATCGTCGGCCATACCTGAGTGTTTCACTTCTAGGCTTACGGGGCCAGGACGATGTGCTCTCTCAGCTAGGCCTGAGCCCTTCGCTGATACAAAATACAATGGAGTGCCTGAGCTTGTCGCTCGTAGGCTGCAAATGCAAGGGGCCATGTCGGCCAGACCTGAGCCTTTCGCTCTAAGGTGGCCGACGAGGGCACCTGCTAATGTTTTACTTTGAATTTCCGGAGAAAAATCAGAACATGATTTTATTCATAAGTGGCTCGAGGCCGAGGGTGGCGTTCAATCAGTAACCCGTTAAGGGGTGAGGGCTTCGCCGTCTGCACCTCCTTCGGATTACTGATAAAACTTCACCAAATGGTGTACATTCCATGTTCGTGGTACATTGGACCCATTCGGGCGTTTAAGCTTGTAGGTGCCGGGTTTGACCACGGCACTGACGATGTAGGGCCCTTCGTACTTCAATGCTAGCTTGCCGCCCTCTGTCGGCTGGCTTGCTTCCCTTCGGCGGAGGACGTAGTCCCCCACCTGAAATTCCCGGGAACGTACCTTGGCGTCATAGTATGATTTCACTTGACGCCGGTAGTTCTCTGCTCGGACGTAAGCTTGCTCACGCCTCTCATCAACCAGGTGTAGGTCAATCTTCATGTTCTCTTCGTTGGTGTCAGGCTCATATTGCTCCACTCGTCGGCTGGGGATGGCTACCTCCGTGGGCGCCTTCGCCTCAAAGCCGTAGCACAGGGCGAAAGGTGTTTCACCTGTCGCCCTCCTCGGCGTGGTTCTGTAGCACCACAGGATGTTGGGGAGCTCGTCGACCCAACTACCTCCTGCGGCTTGGAGGTTCTTCTTCAGCCCCTCCATTATTGTTCTGTTGGCGTTCTCGACCTGCCCGTTGCCCTGAGGATAGGCAACGGAGGAGAAACGGTGCCTCACCCCAAACTCCCGGAGGAGCTCCTGGAAAGGGGCTGCCTCGAATTGGGTGCCGTTGTCTGATATAATCTCCTGGGGGACGCCAAAGCGTGTAATGATGTTCTTGTAAACAAATCTTTGGCATCTGGCCCCCGTGATGCTGGCCAAGGCTTCCGCCTCGACCCACTTGGTGAAGTAGTCGACGGCGACGATGATGTAGCGGTTATTACCGGCGGCTCTGGGCAGGGGGCCGACCAGGTCAATCCCCCATTTGGAGAATGGAATTGCGGTGCTGACCGGGGCATAGTTGACAGCTGGCCGACCAGGGGCCTTCTGGAGTACCTGGCATGTGGTGCACTTCCTGGCCAGGTCAGCGCAGTCCCGTGCCATCGTCGGCCAGAAGAAGCCCTGGACGACGAGACGTCGGGACATGCTGAAAGGACCCTGGTGCGAGGAGCAGACGCCACAGTGAACTTCTTCCATGGCGGTATCGGCCTCGTCCTGGTGCAGGCATCGGAGGAGAGTGCCATTGTAGGACCGTTTGTAGAGTTTGCCATCTTCTATGGTGTAGCTTGGGGCCCTGAGTTTGGCAAGTTTGGCCCTCTCCTCGTTCTGGGGCAGCTCTCCCATGGTGATGAAGGTGGCGATGTCGGAGATCCAGTCCTCTGGTCGCTGTTGGACGCACAAGACGGGGCTGGCATGGATGCTGGACATGCTCAACTCCTCGATCTTGGCCAATTGGGAGATGTGCTCCGGGGTGTCCGAGCTGAGCTTGGAGAGGATGTCGGCTTCGGCGTTCTCGGCCCTTTGGGATCTGAGTGATCTCGTGGGTTTCAAACGCTTTCAGCAATTCCTCCGCTGCTTGTTTGTACTGCTTCATCCGGCCTTCCTTTGCCTCGTACGATCCCTCCACCTGGCCCATTACCAGTTTGGAGTCGCACTTGATCTTGAGGTGCTTGGCCTTGAGGCCGCCGGCGAGCCTGAGACCGCTGAGGAGGGCCTCATACTCGGCTTCGTTGTTGGATACCCTGAAGTTGAAGCGGATGGCATAGTAAGCTCTGAACCCTTCAGGGGATATGAGGACGCCGCCGCCGCCGCATGATTTCACGGCCGACGAGCCGTCAGTGAACAGGGTCCACGTGTCGTCCGGCTCCGGGCCGTGGTTGGCGACGACCGTCTCCCTTGTTGTGCATTCGATGACGAAGTCGGCCAAGGCTTGCCCTTTGATAGATGGCCTTGGCTTGATCTCAATTTGAAACTGGCTGAGGAAGATCGCCCATTTCACCATCCTCGAGGAGCTAGTGGGGCTCCTCATGAGCGCGCCGAGAGGCTGCTGGGTCAGCACATGGACGGTGTGGGCTTGGAAATAATGCCCCAGCTTCTTCACGGTGTGGACGATGGCCAGCACCGTCTTCTCAATGGGGGAGTACCTGAGCTCGGCCTCCCTAAGTGTCTTGCTGATGTAGAAGATGGCCTTCTGCACCCCTTCGTCCTCACGGATGAGCACGAAGCTGATGGCCGACGTGCTCACCCCTATGTACCTTTTCAATTCGTCGAATGCTTCCTGGCACTCCGTCGTCCACTTGAAGCTGGTTGCCTTGCGCATGATCTGGAAGAAAGGGAGTGCCCTCTCAGCTGACCTGGAGAGGAACCGGTTTAAGGCCGCCAGGCGCCCCGTCAGTCGCTGTACCTCCTTGACATTGCGGGGCGGCTCCATGTTGATGATAGCCTGCGTCTTCTTTGGGTTTACCTCGATGCCTCTCCGGCTGACCATGTAGCCAAGGAACTTGCCGCCCTGGACGCCGAAGGCGCACTTCTTGGGGTTAAGGCGGAGCCTGAACTCCTTCATGATTTCA